TTCTAAGGGCTCCCCCATCCTTGACATTCTCTGCTCTAAGGGCCCTTCCAGCTGACATCTCATATCCTATGAATAACTGTCATTCTCCAAGGACACATCAATCTGGACAGGACCACCCAGCTTCATTACCTGGGGACAACAGGACAGCCGCTGTGAACAGAGCAATTTCCTCATCTGACAGCTGCAGACGACACAGGCCCCTTTCAAATTCAAAGATGGCCCCAATCAAGTCATCACAGGCTGGAAGAGACACAGGCAGGGGACAGAGAGTACGGGTGGAAGAGAGGAAGATGTGAGCTCTGGGGCTGGTGCCCACAGTTGACCTCAATCCCATGCTGATTTCCAGCCCCCTTTGAGAGCCAGACTTCCCTTTGGCCCCATCCCCAGGAAGGAAAGGAAGTAGGAAATGTTGATACCCAAACCAACCCCCCCCCATACCAGGTGGAGGCCCCAGGTCCAGGGAGGCAGTGTGATAGAGTGGAGAGAACATGGCACTAGATGGAGCTGGATTCAAATCTTAGCTCTGTTTGGCCCTAACACACCCGATGCTCCCTTGCGGCACAGCCTTGCTTTTTGGCTTGCTAAATCTGTGCTGAAGTCAGTGGATGCCTGGGGGGGGGGGAAATACAAGCCCCCTTCCTGGTGACATAGACACAACCTCTCCTTGAAGAGAAGAGTGCAGGAAGTATAGCAGCCTGTGTTCATGGACGCCATTTTGGATGCTGGTGCAGAGGCCTCAAAACCTTATTGGGAAGGTCTCCCTCAGCCCAAGAGGCTTCCTTACCCAAGGCCTTGAACATCTGTATCCCTCCAAATTTGCCATCAAAGAGCACGGTATTATTCAAAGGATTGAAGACCCGAACCATCCGGATCAGCAGCACTTCTAGGCAACCTGAGACAGGCAAAGGGAGAAAACAAAGAAGGAAGGGTGGAGCTGACCCCAACTGGGAGCCCAGCACCACCCTTCTCACACCCCTCCCCCAGAGGCAAAATACATTTTAAAAGCTATGCTTTGATCTGGAATCTAAATGTATTTGAAAAAAGGAAACTGAACCATCAAATGAGGAGCATTTATTAAGCACCTGGAGCCGTGCTGGGGGAGGGGGGCCTCTTCTAGACTGTGGATGGGGTGGGGGAGAGAAGGGAAAGCCATGAGTCTACCTTTGTGGACAGCTGGTGGGACAGAGAAAAGATTCTCTCTCATGCATGAACAGAGCAGATATTTAACAACAGAAGATGCGGTAGAGTTAGGGTTGGGGTACGCAGAAGGCACTCAGTAAATACACAGCCTGGACTGGGCAATATGTACACAGCCCATGATAGTTCACTACTTGAAGTAGTGAGCACTCCATCACTGGAGGTATTAAAGCAAGAAACCATCAGGAAGGCAGTTGAGGGGGTTTCTTGCAAGTCTAACCAGATGGCCTCTAAGATCCCTTCTAGCCTAGAGGCACCCTAGAGTAACCAGAGACAAGATCTGGATTTTGGAGCCAGAAGATCTGCTTTTGAGCCTTGCCTCTGTTACTGCCTGTGTGACCTTGGTCAATTCCCTTTGCCTATCCGGCCCTCAGTTTCCTCATCTGTAAAATGAATGAGTTGTACTGGACAATCTCTAAGTTCTTGCAGTTTAAAGCTTGAAGATGCCAAGAGCTACAATTCCAGGTTTCCTGGACAGGAGAAAAGGAGGGTCAGGGCCCAGGCCTTCGGGGATTCACCTGCTTTGAGTAGGATGATCTGGTCATTCTGGTCAAGATCCATGAAGCCGCAGATACGCTTCGCAAACTCCACCACGAACTGGATGGCGTGGGAGATCTGGAGCGAACACTGTTGCCACAGGACCTCACAAGGCTGGGGAGAACCAGGGAAGGGCATCAGGCCTCAGGCTTTGCTCCCCTTCCCTGACCCATCCTGATCCCCTTCCTTTTACACCTGGACCTGAACAATCACAGACCAGATTCTAGGCCTCCAGCACTGTCTGTATAATAATTTTCATGGGCGTGCAGATCTTGAATTTTATTGGTCTATCCTGATCTTGGATTTATTTAGGGAACTTTTGGTGAGAAAACTCCCTGATAGGTAACTCTTCCGTAATTTATAGTCTTGAGAGAATTGTTGAAGACCTTGAGAAGTCAAGTGAGTTGCCCTGGGTCACAGAGCATTATGTCAGAGATGGGCCTGGAACTCAGGCCTTTCTAGAATGCTACCTACCTCCTGACAGAGAGGTAAGGGACTCAGGGTCCAGAATGAGACACATATTTCTAGACATGGCCCATGTGAGAATTCATTTTGCTTGACTATGAATATTTGTTACAATGGTTTTGTGTTGTTTTGTCTTTCAATAAGGGGTGGGGGGAGGTAAGAGGGAGAGAAAATAATTTCTTGTTAATTAAAAAATTAATTAAAAAATCTAAAAAGTAAGAAGAATGCTGGACCTCCTTCCCATCTTTGAAAAGTCAGGGGAGTAGAGGTCTGGACTATTGCCTATTTTTCAGACTTGGTTAATACTCTAGTTTTGCTGGACTACTTTTTTGCTTTTTCTTTTTAAAAAATTTTTTTGTTATGGGAAGCAGCTGGCAGTGTAAGATATATTGGGAAATGAAAGTGAAGCCAAAAAAGAAAAACAATTAAAAAGAAAAGAAAAGTAAATCAGATCTGGTTTTGAATACCAGCTCTGTCACTTTCTAGCCCTGTTATCCCACAAAAATTCTTTCACATCTCCGACCCTCAGTGTCCTCCTCTGTCAAATGGGTGTAATGATCCTTGTACTCTGTGAGGGCTGTGGAGAGAAAATTGCTTTGTAAATCTTAAAGCATTATAGGAATGGGAGCTATTATTTTGCCATGTTCGATTTTAACCCCGTGGGTACCCCCTTCAAAGACCACAGTGTCTCTAGTATAGTCTTAGTAGCCAGTATTCATGAGTGGCTATGGCCAAAAAACCTCACGTTCCTCCCCTGTTGGCCAATTATCTGGTAGATGAGTCTCCTCAGTCCTCAGGTTGACAGATAATCGGTCCCCAGGCTTTCATCAGGAGGACTGAGATTGGAGTCCATACTTACTTATTGGCTGTGTGACTCTGGGTAAGTCACTTAATCTCTCTTGGCCTCAGAGAAGCCTCCTCCTCTGTTTCCTCTTCTATAAAATGGGGGGATTAGGACTTTTAGGTCCCTTCTGGCCTTAGATCTCTATGACCCTATCATCCAGTTGGTGCTGGGCCCGGAGTCAGGAAGATCCGAGTTTGAATCTAGCCTTATAGACTTCCTAGCTCTGTGGCCCTGAGCAAGTCACTTAACCTCTTTGCCTCAATTTCCCCACCTGTAAAATAGGGATAATAATAGCACCTACCTTTCAGGGTTGTTGTGAGGTTCAAATGAGATAATAATGGTAAAGTGCTTTTTAGCACAGTGCCTAGCACATAGTAGGTGCTTAAAAATGTTAGCTATTATTATTAAATCCCATAATCTGTTAAGATCTTATTGTTTCAAGGCAGCGAGGTGGCAACAGGGGATAGAGTTACCGCCCTGAAGTCAGTAGGACTGAGTGGAAATCCAGTCTCAGACACTTATTAGCTATGTGACTATAGGCAAGTCACTTAACCCTGATTATCTCAAAAAAAAAAAAAAAAAAGATCTTATTGTTGCAGATAAAATTAAATAAAATCACTAATGGTTCATTTTGCTGACCTGCTTCTCCTTCCCCCTCTTTTATTTTTTGTTCCAGGGGACAGGAAACGAAAGAAACATACAGTTTTTGGAAATTAACGTAATGCAAAAAAAGTATATAAAATATTAAAAGGGATTCAATTATGGTTTTAAAATACATAGATAAAATTTTTTTAATTGTATAAGACCATTAGTGATTACATTGGAAATTACTTCTTTTGATTTCTTGCTATGTTGTAGGATTACAGTATCTTGGTTGTTCAACCCACCTAGAAAAATTCCTTGCTTGGACCCCACCTGGATGCTCTATCCCCTCCCCCCTCCCATGGCTGAGGAAGGGAGGGGGATCTTTGCTACCAGAAAGAAGAGGAAGCATGGATCTTGTCTAGCCCAAGAGGGTCTAGGTCACAGGGGTGGGGAACCTGCGGCCTCGAGGCAACATGTGGCCTTCTAGGTCCTTGGGTGTGGCCTTCTGACTGAGTCCAAGTTTTACAGAACAAATCCTTTTATTAAGGAGATTTGTTCTGTGAAGTCTGGATTCAGTCAAAGTACTGCACTGGTCCAGGTTCAATGAGTGCATGTGTATAGGGGAGCAGTTTGGAACTCAGTATGAGGAAGGACTTTCTGATAAACCAGTTGTTAGATAATAGAAAAGGATGTCTGATGGGAAAGGGGGAAGGAAAATGAGTTCTCTGTCTCTGAAAGTATTCAGAGTTTGCAACCTTGTAGGGATGATGCATAGAGGATATTAAAAGGATTAAAAACTCCCCCTGACTGCCCCCCATGACTTCTAATGATCCTTACAGCTCTAAGATTGTGGGGGGTTGAGAGAAACCTGTGAATTCATTGGGGGTAAGGGAGCTCCTGGTGAGAAACTCCCTCTACCAAGCTAGAAGGACTTTAGAAGTCATCAAGTCCAACAGCCTCATTTTACAGAGGAGAAAACTGAGTCCCAAAGAGGTTAAGGGTCACACAGGCAGTATATGTCAGAGACAGGGCTCAAACCCAGGTCTTGCCGACTGCCTAGGCTCTAACTTCTGATGAGTTTGTAAAGTTACCCCTAGGGGACTGGCTGGTGATGGATTGGAAGAGTGGACAGGCAGGACAGAAGACACAAGTAGGGGCCCTACCTTTGCCTGCAGGCTGCACAGCTCCTCCTGGGTGTGCTGGGCCCATGCTAGCCTCTTCAGCTCTTCTGTTGTGTACTGGCAGGTCTCCCGGTGGGACCTGATGACGTTCTGGGCCACTCGCTCTGTGGGGGGGGAAGGAGAGCTTTCCATGAATATCCTTCCATGCTCTGTTAGCCTCTCTTTGCCACAAGCTTCTCCTCTCTTCCCTCCTTCTTATCCTGGGTGATTCTGTCAATGTCCTTCCCTAAATCTCTCACAAGGGATCTATCCCAAGGTACTGGATGCCTTCCTCTGGCCCTTTTAATTTTTTTTTAGGATATTATTAATACAAAGAACAATCAGCCTCTGACACCTATAGTCTATAAGACCTTGGACAAGCCATTTCATTTCTTTCTTCCCCCATCTGTTGATGGCAGAGAAAGTGCTATTGTTAGAGGGAGTTTATCACCAGGGGCTCCTTGCACTGATGAAATCATAAGCCTGATTTTTAAAAAAGAGAATAATTACATCAACCATAATAATAGCCATTATATCAAATTGCTTGCCTTCTCAAGGAGGGGGGAAAAGAAGGAAGGAGAGAATTTGGAACTCAAAATTTTTTAAAAATGAATGTTAAAAATTTTTGATCACATGTAATTGAGAAAATAAAATTTAAATTAAAAAATGTTTAATAATAGCCATCCTTTCTATGGCACCTTTGGCTTTACAAAGAGCACTGATTAGGCTTCGTAAATAAGTTGAGCAGTGGATAGAGCATTGGACTTGGAGCTAGGAAGATCTGAGTTCCAATTCTGCCTCATACACTTACTAGCTTTGTGATCCTAGGTGAGTCACTCAGTTTGCTCATCTGTAAAATGCCGATAATAGTAGCACCTGCTTCTTATCAAAGGAGATAATACTTGCAAAGTGCTTTGAAAACCTGAAAGCACTATGCAAATGATAGCTGTTATTGTAATGGTTTGGGTTGTAAGGGAGATCAATTTTTTCCCCAATTTGCCAAGTAATGAAATAAGCTTAGAGAGGTGAGGTATTCCCGGCAAAGTCACACAGCAAGTCAGGGACAGAGCCAGGATTCAAAGTCTAGACTTGTAGCTGTGAGATCACAGCTCTTTTAAGTGCACCACAGGGCACTGAAAAACCATTCAGATGCTCTTGGACAGGGTGGGAGCAAAAAGGACTATAGGAGGCATGGAACTGTCCAAGGCAGCACCAATTTGAGTGACTACTAGGTGTAAGGCAGGGGCCATCTCCAGTCGTCCTGATCTATATCTGGCCACTGGACTCAGATGGCTCCAGAGGAGAAAGTGAGGCTGGTGACTTTGCACAGCCCTCCCTCACTCAAATCCAATTCACTTGCATGGCACGGCATGGCATCATCTTCCTGATGTCATGGTCCTCTTCCAGAACGAAGGATAAACAACAATAGGTGTAAGGCAGAGTGGAGAGTTGGCCTTGGGGTCAGCTTGTCTTTTTTCCCAGTCCCATCTTATATATGTGTGTATGTATATAAATGCATGCATGCATGTGTGTGTTGGCTGTGTGATCCTGGGCAAGTCATTTCACATTTTAGTGCCCCAGGCAACTTTGTAAGACAGGCGTTCTTAACCTTTGGTCCCCAGCTTGGGAGAGTTGGGAGTGGGGTTCTGAGGAAAGATTGACAGTGTTTGTGAACTTTGATGGGGGAAAAATACATCTTTTCTTTTTCACTACCTCTAATTGAAATTTAGCATTTCCTTCAATTATTTAAAAATGTTATTCTGAGAAGGGGCCCATAGGCTTCATCAGATTGTCAAAGGGGTCCAGGACACAGAATCCCTGCTCTAAGTCCATAAGTCGCAGAACAGATTTTTATCTGCATTGGTAGGAGAAGTTTTCTCATCAGAGAAATCACAGATCCAACCCCACTTCTCTCAAAAAAAAGGGGGTGCATAAAACATTACATGAGGTGCTGGGAAGATACAGATTTAAAAAAAATTCAACAGTCTCTACCTACGAGAATGTAAATTTCCTTTCTAATTACATTCTATGATGAGAAGTAAAGGGACAAGGGTGGAAAGCCTTGGGCACACAAACAAACACACAAATACGCTTCAAAGAGCCCCTCTTTCTACTTCTGGTATATACCCCCAGACTTCTCTTATGCTCAGATCTCCAAAAGCCTTGCTCTCAAAAGTGATCAAGTAATTGTGATCTTGCCTAGAGCCACTCTTTTTTGTCTGTTGCTTTTCCTCATTAGATTGTAATCTCCTTGAGGCAAGGATTGTTTTGCTTAATTGCATTACTATTATTATTAAGAATTATTATTATTGTATTCCTAGCACTTAGCTTAATTCTGGCACATAATTAGCACTTAATGAATGTTATCTACCTATCTATCTCTCTCTGTCTCTGTCTTATCTATCATCTCTCTCTCTCTATCATCTCTCTCTCACTATCATCTATCTCTGTCTGTCTCTGTCTTATCTATCATCTCTCTCTCACTATCATCTCTCTCTCACTATCATCTATCTATATCTCTCTGCCTGTCTCTGTCTTATCTATCATCTCTCTCTCTCTCATTATCTATCTATCATCTATCTATCTATCCATCCTCCACCCCAACCCTAGATATACCATTAATAGATCACAGCAGTATCGTGGAAAAGTCCCTAGACTGAAGAATGAGATCTTGGTTCCAGGTCCAGTTCTGTCATTGCCTCACTTATAACCTTTCTACTCTCAGGACCTCAGTTTTCCCATCTGTAAAATGAGAAAGTTAGAATAGATGGCTCCTAAAGGTCCTTTCCTTTCTGACTCTATGATCCGTTGGTCTCTCTGGGGTCCCTGGCACTAATAGGTACCCAGGAGGCAGTTTGAAGAAGGCTCCCCTTCATGGGTCCCCTCCAAAGACCATCCTAGACCCCAGTTCTAGTCCTCCTAAAAGGCCCATATGTCAACAGGGGATTTCTCTTAGCCTTGTTTCGATCTATTTATAACCTCAGCCTGTCCTACCTCAAGTTTGTTCCCTGCTGGGTAAGTAGGACAGCCAGAAATATGTCCTAAATTTTCTTCTTTCAGGCTTGAAGAGGGGGGTGGTGGCATTCATCTTGGAACTATGGGACTTAAGAAGCAAGGTCATGTCACCCTTGTTATCATCTTTGCAACTTTTACAAGTTCTGAGGCCTTGAGGACAAGCCACTCAATCTCTCTCTGGGTCTCAGTTTTCCCTCAAGTCTAAAAAGGGTAATTAGATATCTTCCAAAATTCCTTTGAGCTCTAAATCTTGGTTCTATAAACTTTAGACTTTAATCCTAATTGCCTCTCAGATTTTGGCTTTTAGTGTAAGAATAATGAGTTAGTGTGGCAGCCCTGGGGTCACAAGAGCTCCAGAGCTCCCCCATATACAAGGAGTAAGGAGGAGACAAACAGGATGGCACCTTACCACTTGAGTGCAAATACCCCCCAGGATTTGGTGGAAGAGCAAGACAATGTTTGCCAAAAGGGCTTTGGACCAGGATCCCAGAGACCTTGAGAATCTTAGAGAGCATCTACCATCCCAGCTCTAAGATTCTATAACCTGATCCTCACTCTATGACACAGGGAGTAAGTAATGACTTTTCTCTGGGACTCATCTATAAAATGGTGGGGTTGGACTTGGTGCTTTTGAAGGTCTCTTCCAGCGCTGACAGCTTTGACATTCTGTGTTCTAAGGACTCTAACATTCTCTGTTCTAAGGGCCCATACAGCTCTGATATTCTATATTCTAATGTCCTTTTCCAGTATTGCGATTCTAAGATTCTCTGTGCACTGAAGAGATTGTGGATGATAAAGATAGACCTTTTATTATCATTATTATTATTATTATCATTATCATTATTATAAATGCACTTTGAAGACACCAGTTTTCTATGATTTGCCTACAAATCAGGCTAAGGTCTCATCTCAGGCTGGCTTCGTCCCTTACCCCCAGGACCTCTCAGTCTGAGTATATCCCTCAAAGTGTAATATAAATAGCTTGAACTGGACATGGTAAGAGATATCAGAACACTAGGGCTTTTTCCTAGGGCCTCACACTTATTTGTTGGACAGTGTCTCAAAGGCAAGGAGGCAACACCATCCCTCGACCTGTGTGTTCTATTCATACAATTAGCCCACGGGATCCCTACCACCATCACTAAAGTACAATGGGTAGGGCCTATTTCTTCCATTTCCCTGTCTATTCACACAAGCTGCTGCTCCATTTCCTTCCTCCTGCCTTTGCACTGACTGTCCCTCATACAAGAATGCGCTCCCTCCTTACCCTTTTCTCTCTTTTACAGTCTTTGTCTGTTTTACTGTTTCCTGTAAGACTCAGCTGAAGCACCACCTTCTTCATGAGACCTTACCTGATCCCCCAGCTGCTAGTGCCTTATCCCCCAAATCACCTTGCATTGATTTTGCATATACCAGGGGTGGGGAACCTTCGGCCTCGAGGTCCTAAGTGGCCCTCTAGGTCCTCAAGGACCTACCCCTGGCATTTATCTATATGAACCATGTTCTCTCTTGTAAATTCCCTAAAGGTAAAGACTATTGTTACTTTTGAATTTGTATCCCTAGCATCTAGAAAATTCCTGGCAAATAATAGGTGCTTAATAAATGCTTGTTGATTGGTTGATCTTCTGTAACCTGATTTCTTCTTGTACATTGGGCACATGGGGGATAGATAGGGCGATGTGCCATAAACAGCCCCCACACTCCCCTCCACAAGCTCCCCGCTGCAGGAACCTTTAGAGGTCTTCATAGAGATGTTTCTAAGTCTCATCTCTACTCCAATGTGTCATAAGAGGGTCCAAGGCTCACTTCTGCCATGCAATTCAGACCGTCTGATGGGGGCAGAAAGTACACCTTTAGGTGGGCACATACTGACTTGTCATGGACATATTCCTATCAGGATGAGTTAAGGGTTCTCACGTTCCTTAGAGGTGGTCCCCAAACCCTACCCCACTCCCAAGGGATAGACTAGGGATCCCCACTGGTGATAAATAGGCAGAGAGTAGTCCAATTACAAATGACCTTGATACTCGTCCCTTTTTCCCTAGAGAAGATACAAAATGGAAGAAAGGAGATAAGACCAGAACAGATTATCCCTAGATTCAACACCACCCCTCAATGGCCTTGTTATCACTGACCAATATCACGATCAGGTGGCATCCCAGGAGTTCCACTGTGCACCAGGACCCCGGGGTCCAGTCCCATCTCATACAGTGTCTCCAGGCACGTTGGCTCTGGTGATGGCTGAGCCGAGCCCAGTAGATCGAGGGTGTAGTAAGTTGGGGCTGTGGTGCTGGCTTCTGTCTCTTCCGGGCTGAGCGGCATATCAAAGAGTAACCCATCTGGCAGGCCTGAGAGGTGGTCCAGGTCAGAGAGGCTGCTGGCCATGTTGCTGCCATCTCTGGGAATTAGGCCACCGCCATCCAGGGACTGGCCTGCCTCCTGGTTCTGCTGGTGTCGCTGAACTTCTGCGTACAGGCTATCCCTTTGCTTCTTGGACATCCGGCCAAACTTGACCGCTGCAAAGATAAGGATCTGAGATCAGCAGAAAGACTCTGCAACCAGGTGTGGGGCAACGTCTGGCTATTGGAGACCAACATTATTAGGTAGTATCTTACCCTAGCAGACAAAGCACTGGACACACTCAGAAGACCTGGGTTCTCACCATGGCTCCACCAGACATCTGCTATATCACCTAGGGCAAGCTTTTTCCCTACCCATGACCTCAGTTTTCTCATTTATAAAATGGGATTGAATGAGCTGTTATCTAAGGTCCCTTCCAGAGGGAACTTCATTCTTGATTCTATGGCCATGTTTATGAAGCACAGCAGAAAAAGCATTAGACTTAGGCTCAGAAGACCTGTGTTCAAATACCAACTCTATCAATTACTAGCTATGATCATTCTGTGCTCCAAGGGCCCTTCCAGCTGTAATATTCAGTGTTCTAAGGGCCCTCCCAGATCTGATAATTTGTGTTCTAAGGGCCCTCCCAGCCCTGACATTTTGGTTCTAAGGGCCCTACCAATTCTGATATGTTATGTTCCAAAGGACTTTCCAACTCTGACATTCTGTGTTCTAGGATCTAGATCATATATATTTAGAGCTGGAAAGGCCCTTATAGGCCATCAAATTCTACTTCCTTATTTTACAGATGGGGAAACTAAGGCCCAGAGAAGGTAATCTGGCCATATGATTAATAAGTACCTGAGGCTAGATTTGAACCTAGGTCTTCCTGATTCCAATTCCAGTGCCTTACCCACCAGACCATCCTACCTCTACCTCTCAAAGGCCTTCTGTCTTTTGAGGACTTGTCAAAGTCTGACCTTTGCTGATCCAGCCTTTGAGAACCAAGGTTCACCTCTCTCAAGGGCCATGCTAGCTGAGGAGAGGCTCTATGCATGTTGCCCAAGGGACCAGCCTGGATAGGTTTGGAAAGGTCAGCCTTCACTAGGTTAGCTGCAGGGGGATATATTTTTTTTGACCATGATGATAAGTCTTGAAGACTTTCTACGTATAAGAATGAGAGCCATTCCTGAATAGATGAAGGGTCGTTAATAGGAAGATGTCCGTAACCACGGGAAAGCCCTTTAGAAGATCAGAGACAACACAAAGATGGGGCACTATGAGTGTAGAACACTGAACGCGTACTGCCAGACTTCGTTGATATGTTGGTTAGTTTTGATGAACTGCCTTCCCCCACCCACATCTTTAAAAAAAAAACAAAAAACAAAACAAAAAAACTCCACGGAAATTGGAATTTGGATTTGGAAAAACTCTCTATGGGAATTTTAGGAATGGGGGAAGGAGGTGTAGCAAATATTTGAAATGAAGGATATGTGAGAACAAAGGAAATAAATAAAAACTTTAAAAAACAACCAGGTAAAAGAATGCTACAACTCTAATAATTAGAAGAATGCAAACTAAAACGAACAGCTCAGAGGTTTCACCTTACATCTTTCAACAAAGACAGCAGAAAAACAAAAATGGCACATGTTGGAGGGGCTTTGGGAAGATAGGCATGTGGACAACTATTGGCAGAGCTATGTATTGCTTGAACTATTTTAGAAAACAACTTGGAATCATAATAAGAAAGTCACTTAAAGTATACATATCCTTTGAACTCATGATATGACTACTAGGGATATGTCACAAGAATTTCAGAGACGGGGGAAAAGGTCTCTGAAATATGAAAATATTTATAACACCACTTTTTTTTTTTTTGGTCATAGCCAAGAACTAGAAGGAAAGAGGGTATTCGTTGATTGGAGAAGGGTTAAACAAATCATGTTACATTAAACAACAGAATATTATTATTTTGTAAAAAATGATAAATAGGAAGAATTCAAAGAAATTTGGGAAGATATATGTATACACACATATATATGTGTGTATACATATGTGTATATCTATACCTATAGATATACATATATATATGTATAAAAATACTCATACAGAGGGGCAGCTAGGTGGCACAGTGGATAGAGTTCTGGCCTTGGAGTCAGGAGGACCTGAGTTCAAATCCAGCCTCAGACACTTGACACTAGCTATGTGACCCTGGGCAAGTCACTTAACCCCGATTGCCTCACCCAAAAAAAAAAATACTCATACAGTGTAAATAGAACCAGGGGAATAATTTACATAATGACCACAATAACTTAGAGGAAAACAGCTCAGAAAGACTTCAGAACTTTGATCAATGTTATGACCAAAGGTGATACTTCAGAAGACTTGAAATTGACAGTGAAGCCTGTCTCCCTTCTCTCAGTAGAAAGTTGGTAAACTATATAGGTGTCAAATGAGGCATATAATTTCAGACTTAGCCACTGTCCTGATCTGTTTTACTTGACTATCCTGATCTGTTACAAGAAAGGGTCCTATTTGAGGGGTGGGAGGGAATCATTGAGAAATCATTCTCCTTGTAAGTCATTCCCCAAGTAAGCTTCTACTGGCAGGGCCTACTTTAATACTGTCTTTGTATCCCAGTAATTAGCACAGTGCCTGGTACATAATAGGCCCTTAATGAATGCTTGATGATTCATTGATTGGAAAGTTACAATGGTGTAAAAAAAGAGTATCTGGAAATTTTTTTTTTTTAATTTTAAGAACTACTAAATCAGAGGGATTGAAATCTGCATTGATGAGAGAAATACATATACCACGAAAACAATAAATCCTTAAAATATAACAAGAATTGCTTTTATTATTATTGTTATTCTGTATTCTGGAATTCTATATTTTACCTCAGGGCCCTCCCAGCTCTGACAATCTATGTTCTAAGAGCCCTCTCAGCTCTGACATTTCGGGTTCTGAGGGCCCTCTCAGCTCTGACATTCTGTGTTCTAAGGGCCCTCTCAGCCCTGACATCCTGGGTTCTAAGGGCCCTCCCAGCCCTGACATCCTGCATTCTAAGGACCCTCCCAGTTCTAACATCCTGTGTTCTAAGGCCCCTCCCAGCCCTGATATCTTGTGTGCTAAGGGCCCTCCCAGCCCTGACATCTTGTGTGCTAAGGGCCCTCCCAGCTCTGATGTTCTCATCCTCCATGTGCTCAATGACGGCCAAGGCACTCAGTGACATGTGCTTACTCACCATCTCGTGACATGCCCAGGGCTAGGCACTTTTGCAGGCGGCAGTGTTGGCAGCGATTTCGGCTGGTACGGTCGATGGGGCAGTTTCGTTGGCGAGAACAGGAATAGCTGGCGTTGTTCTGCTGGCTCCTTCGGAAGAAGCCCTGTGGCCCAGAAGGAGGGGTTGAGGAGAGGTCAGAACCAGGCTTCTAGGCCACCCACCTTAGCCAGAGGTGGTCTCTGACAGGAAGATGGGTCACGTGGCAGTCATGTCCCTGGTTCTTTTTCCCTCTTACGCTGGTTATTGAGGGAGGCAGGAAACTAACTACAAAGTGGCCACAGGCCTGTCACAGCAGAATGTGAGTCAGAATTACCACAATGATGGCCCAGAGTCCTCAAGAGGCAAAGGGAACGTCATGGTGAGAAAAGTAGAGAAATAAATCATTTTAGCAAGCTTTTTTTGTCCCAAGGAGTTGAAAATAAATTATTTGGTGTGTAAAAGGGGGCAAAATATTGGGACTCAGACTTTGGGGTCCTGTCATCTTCACTATGTCCCTCCCTCTGTCCCTCCCCCAGCCCTCCCTTACCTTACAGCCTTCACAGGTGATAACACCATAGTGGATTCCTGAGGACTTGTCCCCGCAGATCTTACAGGGGATCACTTCAATCTGAGCTGCAGGGGAACATGGCCACACATGTAGCAGAAGGTGCAGTGAAGGAGGAAAGGGTGGTAGGCAGGTGCTTTCCCACACTTTCAGGGGACTAGACCTTGTATTCCCCTCAAGGATTGCTAGAGAGAGGTGGGTGGGTGGGTTCCATGTGGGACTGGAGATGATGGGACAGACAGGTTCTGATTCGAATTCTTCCACTAACTAGCTAGATAGCAATGGGCAAATTGATTAGCCTCTCTTGGCCTCCATTTTTTCATCTGTAAAATGACGCTTCTGTAACTCCCTGTGTACCTGCCTCTCAAGGTTGCTAGCTGGGCTTTGGGGAGCAGTCTCTCTCCAGGGACGGAGCTTAGCCTTAAGATGGAACTAAGTCTGGGAGAGAGCTGGCTCTAAGGAGGGGCAGAGACCCCTTAGGACTTAGGAAACAGTCTTTTGGGCTGTTTCCAGGGACTCCCTTTCTCCATCTCGGTGTCTGTATTCCACCCCTGGGCCCAGAATCCCCAGATGTGGCTGTAATTCCCCCAGTGACCAGGAGATGCCACCCTGACACCATTCTGACCTGTCCCTGTACCCCACGTACCCCAAGCTTTGAAAGAAGGAAGGAAGGAAGCCTAAGTTTTTCCCCTGTAAAGCCCTAAGCAACACCTAGGAATGGCCTATGTCAGCTGGGCACCATGATAGCCGTATGTAGTTAGTATGGAAAAAACCAGGAGATTCCTCCCAGCCCTGACATTCTCTGTTCTGAGGGCCCTTCCACTTCTGACATTCTGAGTTCCAAGAGCTCTCCTAGTTCTGACATTCTGGGTTCTAAGGACCCTTACAGCTCTGACATTCTGTGTTCTAAAGCCCCTCCTAGCTCTGACATCCTGTGTTCTAGGAGCCCTCCCAGCTCTGACATTCTCTGTTCTAAGGGGCCTCCTAGCTCTGATATCCTGTGTTCTAGGAGCCCTCCCAGCTCTGACATTCCATTTTTTCTGACACTCTTCTCCTCTCCTCCTTCCTCCACTTCTTCCTTCCCCCCTCATAGACTGACACACAGCACCTTATAACTCCAGCTTGCCTGAGATTATGTAACTGCAGTTATATAAAGGGCAGCTGTTAAACCTATCTGTGACATCATTCTGAGAGGGGGGGGGGGGGGGGGGCGGGGGGGGGGCAGGACGGATCCTGATTGGGCCTCCAAGCTGGGGGCGGGCGTCCCGGGGCCAGCTGTACTGCCCAGTCACTTACCCACTCACTGTCCCACTGACACACTTCTGCCAGGGGCACTGCTTGTATAACAGGCAGTGTAGGAGATTAACCCTATCCTTCCCAAGGCGCAATCCGCTCCCTCTAGGGTGTGGAAGAGACTTCAATACCCTTCCTTTTTACCCCTGGTAAAAGAGCAGAGGATACCCTGGGGTTGAACTCAGTTGACGAGGCCTCTCACTGTTTCCTACCGGGTCCAATCTGGTTAAAGTGTAAATGCTTCTAGGGCAGGACCTATTTTTTTTTTTTTCATCCCTTTGTATCACTACACAGTGTGGTTGATAAATGTTTGTTGAGTGAAATTGTCCTGGGGAGATCTACTTGTTCACTGACTGGCTGTGCTGTGTTGGCCAGGTCTCCTTTTCAGTTCTCACAATTTCTGCATCTCAAGCCATAGAGTCAACCCCCCTCATTTTACAGAGCAGCCTGGTGGATAAGGGCACTATGCTTGGAGTCAGGGGGGCTCAAATCCAGCCCCAACACATCCTAGCTGTGTGACCCTGGGCAAGTCACACCTGAACCTCTCCCAGCCTCAGGTTCCTCATCTGTAAAATGGGGATAAAGCACTAGATAAAAGCTAGATAGCAATTGCCCCCCACCCCAAACACAAAACTAGTAGGATGTAGGTTTCCAGTGGGTAGGGTTTGAAAGGTAGGATCCTCAAAACAAAAGTTTTCCCAAGTCTAAAGGCGACAGTGTCCCTGTACCCCGAGGCTGGCTCAAATGTAAATATCCTATACAAATGCAAAGTGTCTTTGGGAGAAGATGAGCCTTCACATCTGGGGGGCTTTGGAGGACCAGCCGGGAGGGGAGGGAGAAATGCCGTTGAACTCCCAAGATTGGACTGGACGGATGACCCACAAGGTTCAATTTAATTCAAATCAACAGTCACTTATTAAATGCCTAGTGTGTGCTAGGCACTGTAGTGGGCCCTGGGGATATAAAGACAAAAAAACTCAAAAACATACGAGAAGAAACAGAATCATAGGATCAGAGACTTAGATTTGGCAGTGACCTCGGAGGTCAGCTAGTGAAACCTCCTCAGTTTCAGAGACTGAGGCTGGGAGAAATTGAATGATTTGCTCAGAGTCTCACAGTTAGCAAGCATCTGAGGTGGGATTTGAACTCAGGTCTTCTTGACTTTAGGTCAGGGCTCTCTGGCTCTATGCACTACATCACGCTGCCTCTCAGAATCCTAGAGCAATGTAAGAATTGGGGGAGAAAGGGGGGGATGCTCAGATCACAGTGAACGGTGATCTAGGTCTCGAAGGATCCTTATAAATTCCTCCTTAGGCTTCTGGTAATCAGTAACATCTCACATGCATATAATGACTTTAGGTTTGCAAAGCACTTAAGTATGATTTCATCTGATCCTCATAACTGAGAGAGGTTCTCACCATTATTATCAGCTTCCTACCTTTCCTCTCCTCAGGATCTCACCTCAGGCTTTATTTCTTTCCTGATGCACTCACCAAGAAATAATGAATGATAGCAATATATCATAATATAGTAAATAATAATAATATTGAGATAATAAATAATATAATAAAATAATAGTGAAATAGATTTGTGTCTCAGCTCCCTCCTAGACTCAAATCTCCCAAAGAATAGGGACCTTTGTTTTAGCTATACTTTATCTCCTTCGATGTTCCATAATCAAGAGCTTTAAAATGTTTATTGAATGAATTTTCAACGTCAGACCTGGGGAAACGGGACTTAAAACATAGACTGGGGTTATCAGAAGTAGCCAAGCCCTCAGAGGTCATTCAGCCCAACCCATATATTTTACAGAGGAGGAAAGTAGGCCATAGAGGAGGAAGATTTGTACGTAGTGTAGTCCAAGAAAATACAGCAAGTTAGGGGTCGTGCTGAGACCAGAATCAGCACTCCTGCTTCCCAGGCCAGGGTGGCTGCTGCTCCCCCAGGCGGCCTGGAAACTGCTCCTCCCTCTCCTGGGTGGGGTCCCCATTGCCTTTGGGCCCTGACAGAGTAAGGGCCTGGGAGGGGTGTACCTGGCCCTGCACCAGAGGCTGACTCCTGTTGACGTCAGGAGGGCAGAGTCCTTGGGTGAGAGGGAGGGGGAATCCCCTTGCTGGTGCTAGAAGAATGGATAGACTCAAAGAGTCTGGTTGCTTTAGCCTGGGTAAAGAGGCTCTGATCTTGGGTACCAGCTTTGAATCTTCTGCCCTCTCATGTTCCCAATGGAAAGAACCCTGGAGTTGAAGTCAAAAGACCTACATTCAAATCCTTCCTTTTCTACATAAAACCTGTGAAATTAGAGGGAAATCACTTTCATCCTCAGGGCCTCAGTTTCCTTATCTGAAAAATAAAGAGCTTGGACTTGAAAATTTCTGTTTCCTTCTAGCTTTATAGTCCATGATCCCTCTCTGTGCCTCTGTTTTCTCCTTTGTCAAATAGGGACCTCAAGAAGCTTATATCCTAGCAGTGGAAACAACATGTGCATATATGAATATACAAAATATATAAAAGGTAATTTTTGGAGTGGGGGTCTGGGGGAGGAATCTGAAAAGGGTCAAATGAAATAATGGATGGTGGTGTTGTTCAATCGTTTTCAGTTGTGTCTGACTCTTTGTGATCCCATTTGGGGTTTTCTTGACAAAACCACTGGAGTGGTTTGCCATTTCCTTCTCCAGCTAATTTTGCAGATGAGGAAACTGAGGCAAACAGGGTGGAGTGATTTGCCCAGTAAACATCTGAGGCCAAATCTGAACTCAGGAAGATGAGTCTTCCTGACTCTAGGCCCAGGACTCTATCCTCTGTGCCACCTAGCTATATGGTAGCGCTTTATAAATTGTAGATGTGACCTACAAACCTGAGGAAATATTATTAGGAATAGAATATAAACATCCAGGCAAGCACGCTTCTACGACAAGTTATGCCTGTGTAGGTGAGCACACAGGTATCTGTGCCTTTGTGGTTGGACAGGCACCTACATGCACATAGGCAAAGATGTGTTTATGTGCCTTTGGGTAAGTGTCCGTGTGCTATTAACGAAAAGGCCTTCAAAAGTCTGATCAGCTCTTGAACGGACATTGATAACTCTAGGTTTCCTTCTTGGGGAACACTTTCCCTTCTCACCTTTACCTCTTAAAATCTCTAGCTTCCCTCAGATCAAGGCCTACCTCCTACCTGAGGCTTTTCCTCATCTCCTCCAGTAACTAGCCCGCTTTCCTTTATCTATCTACATGTTGAATCCCCTCAGCAGACTGTCACCTCCTTGAGGGCAGGGCCTATTTCTTTTTTTTTTTCTTGGCCTTTTTAATACCATAAACTAACAGACACCTAGTGGGTGTCTAACAAATGCACATCGCATAACTAAGGCAGGTGTGGGGTGGGGAGATCAATTGGGAAATGGCTGAACACAGTATGGTATATGAACGTGGTGGAACACTATTGGCTGGAAGAAATGAGGGAAAAGAGTGTTTCAAAGAAAAATTTGAAAAATTTTATAGAAAAATAATATAAAATAATATAGAAAATAGAAAAAATTGTCTGAACTGATGAAGATAGAAGTAAGCAGAACCCAAAGAACTGTTTAGACTACAGGGTGTTCCAAAAGTATTACGGCAGTTTTAAACTTCAAAGACTTGAATGAATTTTAAGACTAAAGCTGTACTAAGATTTTTGTGACACCAGGTATAACATCAATATTACAAAAACGAACAGTTTAGAAGACTTTTTAGAAAGTGATGAAGAATGAGATGAACAGAATCAGGAAAATAATTTATACAAC